AACCGGTGAAGCACCGGATCCACCAGGAATTTTTGTTGATAACCAAACTTTAACACACCAAAGCGTTCCAAAATGCATCAGAAAAATCTTGTAACGGGACTAATACCTAACTTTTACTGGAATTTTTTTACAGCTACTGGTTTATTGAATCGGTTAATTTATCGGTGAAATTTGGAAGGTGCCCAATATGTGCAGCGCAGAACAAATCCTTGAGGTTTGTTTTTAGGCCTCTGATGTTATGATAAAATATTGATGCACATTCTAAGTCTGCCTGTCTCCCAAATTCCGAAGTTGAAAATTCGTGGACTTAATAGTATTATAAAGAGGGCGCCGAGCTCGAAATTCCTTAACAGCCGTCCCAATTTTATTTATATTTATATCTTTATCTTTATTTTCCAGCTTTGTCAATAAGAGTTTATCTACTTAGACAATAAAGCATATTTTCATTTTATTTCATTTCAACGAGCCAAAGATTGAGCTCCAGCAGGCCCTTCAAGAGTGATTCCTTGACCCCAATCTTGAATGATATCACATTTTCGTTTTTATCCAGAATAAAGCATTTAACATCCGAAATGCCAAGCTGTTGATTCATATAATCAATTATATTTCCTTCTGTGGTTGTAGGATCACATCGGCCAAGATATAACCATTGACGTCTATCTCCAGCTGAGAAAGGTCCATTGACAGTGCCCGTTCCAATAATCACACGCTCAGATGTGGCAGCAGAAGTAGATTTCAATCGCGGGTTGGTCATGGGATTCAATCGCGGGTTGGTAGTGGATAGCAAAGGCCTTTGTTGATGGGCGGATTGTATGTTATTATTTTTGCTGTCTTTAACAAATTTGTTGGCAGCTTTCAGTCTACTGGGTGGTACCCCGGGGGCGCTATCGGTTATTGCCTCAGTAGATAGTGTTGTAAAATGCTCAAGAATTTATTTTTGGAGAACGTTCTCCGAGCACGAACCAAAATAATAAGCATGAAAGAGAAGAAGTAATGGGAAATTATAAAAAATGAAAAAAATATCTGCTTATAGATATTTGGTAGATCTATAAATGAAGTGTTTCTATAGTCTGGCTAGCCAAATGGCGAACTGCAATAGAATTTGCTGCTATGCCAAACTTGACAGAAACAATAATAAAAAAGTTGGTGAAATATTCTTTTTTGCAATATGGGCATGTGTATTATTTTGAAATAGGAAAAAATCCGGGCAACATTGCGAAATGAAGGATGTGGAGAGGCGTGATTATTCAGGTCTAGAAAATTAGCACAACGAAAATGGCACACATCAGAAAAACTAGAGTACTAAATTCGGGCCTATTTAGTGCTAATTTAGTATGAAAAAAAACAATTTATAACTCTATTTTTTTAAAAAATTACGTGCATGTGTGCCAGCTTAATCTTAAGCTGGCACACTCTAGTTGGATAAGGTCGAATGAAAATTTAGAACCTCATATTTAGTGCTAATTTGGTACATTCATGGCACGCCTAAAAAACTAACAATGATGTATTTATTACGAAATAACCACGGAAAAGTGCTAACTTAAGACTTGAATTAGCACACATACATTGGATCGACCGCGCGAGAACGAAATTCGCATGCACATATTTAGTGCTAATTTAGTGCTTCAAAAACGACTACCTAAAACGAACTAGTATCACATCAGCACAGAGCTAATCCAAACTAACCCAAAATAACCCAAAATAACCCGAACTAACCGAAACTAACATCTAAAATTAGCACTAAATGTGTGCTAATTTAGTACTCTAGTTTCATCGCGTCATTGGTGATATATGTTTGTTAACTTAAACACTAAGCCAGCACACAAGTGCTAACTCTGTGCTGATGTGATACTAGTTCGTTTTAGGTAGTCGTTTTTGAAGCACTAAATTAGCACTAAATATGTGCATGCGAATTTCGTTCTCGCGCGGTCGATTCGATGTATGTGTGCTAATTCAAGTCTTAAGTTAGCAATTTTCCGGGGTTATTTCGTAATAAATACATCATTGTTAGTTTTTTAGGTGTGCCATGAATGTACCAAATTAGCACTAAATATGAGGTACTAGATTTTCAAACACAAAAAATATTAAGTTTTCTAGGCATTTTCAATAAAAAGTAAACACTATACTGATATGTCTGTTCGCACAGAAATTACAAACTAGCCAGAGTGAATTTCATTGGTTGAAACTAGTTTTCTGATTGTTTCTGACTGTTTTCAACCAATGAAATTCGCTCCGACTGTTTCATGATTTCTGTGCGAACAGACCTAATTACACGCTTCAAAATAAATACTAAATGAAAAACTGGCAAACGGGACGACAAAAACTGGCGTGTGAATCCCTGAAATCAAACCCTGCTGGTTGGCTGTCGACTATTGAGAATTTTTCTCTATCCCCGGACCACAGAAAATAATAGTATAATGTTGTATTAGGAGTAGAAGTTTTACTTTTTTGTGCTGAAGCGGTAGGTTTGCAAGCCGAATGTAGTGAGGCTTGCAATACTGCTGAATCACAAAAAAGTGCTTCTACTCTGTATGCAACAGGCTATTTTTTCTCCAAACGAATGGGGTATGCTCGGGGGCAAGTGAATGGTTGAGCGGCACTAAAAGTACAGGGTGGCCCAAATTCGAGCCTCATAATGATGAGGCATCCCAATGGGGATCTTGGAAACCGTAAGAGATACAGGGTCGGTTGAATTATGGCAAAGTTGCGCAGTTTTATGACCAATAGAATGCCGTTTTGAAATTAGAAAGATTCCAAATACTTCCGGAAATACTCGGAAAAAACCGAAATTTTGTAAAATCGATTTTATTTTTTCCCGGGCTTATTTGAAGAGCAATTTTAAAATAAAGGTCACTTGATCATTGTCACTTTCTCTCCTTCACAAGATGGTGCTACTAAATTTAAAATCAGACGTTTCGTCTTCAGGCGGCCATCTTCAACTTACTTTTTTTAAATACGGACCTGGATTTTTTATTTGCGATTTTGTCATCTTTGGGCATCCTAAAACTGATACTGTTTATAATTTTTCAATAACACATTAAAAAAAGCAGGTCCATATTAAAAGAAAAAAATTGATGATGATTCCAGAGGAACGAAACGTTGGATTTTAAATTTAATACCGCCATCTTGTAGAGAAGAAAAAGTGACAATGATAATGTGAAATTAGTTTTTCCTACAGCCGTGCGGAAAAGTCGATTTTCCGCACTGATATGCGTGCGGTAAATGAGTTTTCCCGCACGGTGTGGTAAAACTTTTTTTTTCGACATACCAGTGCGGAAAAAGTTTTTCCGCACGGCTGTCAGTGCGGAAAAAATTTTACCGCACTGATATGTCAAAAAAAAAAGAAAAATTTTACATTTTTTCGCCTGTAGGAAAAATATTGTACCTAACACTTGCGGAAAATATTTTTCCGCACTCAGCTATTTCCTACAGCCGTGCGGAAAAATCGATTTTCCGCACTGATATGTGTGCAGAAAATGAGTTTTCCCGCACGATGCGGTAAAACAAACTAATTTCACATTCCCATGGTCACTTTTTCTTCTCTACAAAATGGCGGTATTAAATTTAAAATCCAACGTTTCGTTCCTCTGAAATCATAGTCAATTATTTTTTTTTTAAATACGGACCTGCTTTTTGTAATGCGTTATTAAAAAATTATAAACATTATCAGTTTTAGGATGCCCAAAGATGACAAAATCGCAAATAAAAAATCCAGGTCCGTATTTAAAAAAAGTAAGTTGAAGATGGCCGCCTGAAGACGAAACGTCGGATTTTAAATTTAGTGGTACCATCTTGTAAAGGGGAAAAAGTGCCAATGATGAAGTGACCTTTATTTTAAAATTGCTCTTCAAATAATCCCGGGAAAAAATAAAAACGATTTCACAAAATTTCGGTTTTTTCCAAATATCTCCGGAAGTATTCGGAATCTTTCTAATTTCAAAATTGATCATAAAATTGCGCAACTTTGCCATGATTTAACCGACCCTGTATCTCTTATGGTTTCCGAGATCCCAATGATGAGGCTCGAATTTGGGCCACCCTGTACTTTTGCTGCCCCTGGGGTTGCCAAGCAGCATAGAAATTAAACGTCTACCACCTTGACAGGTGTGAACCCGGTAGATTTGCCTAGCAGCATAGAAATCAAATTTCTGACATCTTGACAGGAGTTAACTAAGTGACGTTTATTTGACGTTTGGAGAAAAATGTTATTTATTGTATTATTTTTAACAAGGAACATTCTCGTTCGTGTTGATTTGTGCTTCTGAGAAAGAATGTTCCCAGTTGACGACTTATTTTGGAATGTTATTTGTTGTATAAATTTATTTTATTTTATTTAAGACCAGCTTTAATTTATGTTTTGTAGTATGACCTCCTGTGTAATTTTAGTATCGTCGTTTTATTATGTATTCTTTGTATTGTCGACTTATCAGTGTTTTTAATATTGTTTTACAAGTCAGCATTATATGTTTTAGGTATTTTTAGTTCTGCTTTGTCAATGAGATGTTTTAATCTTTTTTTTTTTATGACAATAAAGCTGAATTTAAATTTGAATTTTAGTCTTGAACGTTCGCAATTTTAGCGACTAACGTTGAGCGATGGGTGGATAAGGTAAGAAGTGAGGGGAAATTGTCGAGAACTTATCGATAGCGATTGTTTGTGGTTCGCCTCCTGGTTTATTGGGACAAAAAGTCGATAGCTCAAACAATAATGCCGAGAACTTTGATACAAATAACGTCGCAGCAACACCATACTTTGGGAGCCCTAGGGCCAGAGATCCAAACCGCAGGAGGGTCCTGCAAATATCGAAATATAGACGTTACGACGACAAACCTGATGACACAAAACACCACTCTACGGCTTGACTAAGACGCCCTAAAAAGACACTTAAGAAATTGATTGGAATTGAATCATGGCATAGTCTGTCAATAAATCAAATTAAAACTACAACGGAAGATCAGAATAATTAGGTATCTACTTAAAAATTATGCTGTAAAACTTACTCATTTCAAGTCTCCCCATCCTCAGATAACAATTAATTTCAACAAACAACGGCCCATTACTGTGTTTCTCAATTTTAGCCACATATTTCTCATTATCTTTGACTTTCTGGTCGCAACCCACAACATCATAAATCTCCCCGAATCCTCCAATACCAATAGCCTGGCCCAATTTCCATTTTTCGCCCCTGTTATCCAGGATTATTTCACCTTTTTTCAGCTGACCCTGGATTGAAGTCGGACTGCTGGAGCATTTTTTCTTTCTAGGAGGCTCATTTGGTGCTGGGCTAGCTTTTCTTGGCATAATTAACAATATCAAGTTGTTTCTAATAGTTTCTATTGGATTGGGAACTATGCATTTGTTTAGGTTTGATGACCTTTGGGGTCAAAATAAAAACAAATTCAAAAATTTAACTGACTTTTTAATCAGTTTTATGGCCGCTTTCCTATCCAGTATTTATGGGATTTTGATAATTGGGTGTGGCTAGAGTGAACTAAACTCCCAAAATCTAGATTATTGCACAAAGAAGCCACAAAAATACCGAATTTCACTATAAAATTAGGAACGGGAGACTGGAATTTTCAACAATTCATGTATTTATTTTTGTAAAATGTAACCGGCCGGCCATTTTTCTTGAATATTTTTTATTTTTCTTTCTCCATCAACCGTCAACCTCAACCGCCGGCAAACGTCAGATTTCATGTAATTTCAAATTTTGAAGATTTGTTGCGCACTGATTCTAGCTTCATTTCTTTCTCCCGGGAAGTGAAAGAGAGAGATAGAAATACCTGTTTTATTTTTTTTGCACTCATTCGACTAATCGAAAGTGCTATATAACTTTAGACCGGCCGAGTTCAGAAATAAAACACGAGTTCAGAGGTGCTTTCCAGTGACCCATTTGAGTTACTCCTGAGCAGCTCAGGAGTGCTCCACAATTGCTTTGCGCGTTCCAGTGCTTAGAGTGTCGTACACTTGAGCTACTCATTTCTGTTATCCCCTGCCCCTTCATGCACCAACCCTTTTGTCTATAGCCGCATTCTTTCGGACCGGATCAGTTGATCAAAACGCGTTATGTTCCAGTGATCACGTTCTTTCGCATTTTGGCAAATGACAGTTAACGAATCATGATCCGAGAAATTCTGAACATATTGAACATTTTTTGTTTGTGATTAGTTTGTTCCGATCGCGAAAATCTAACCTCAACTTTCAAATTATTTCTTGTTTACTTTTTGCGCTTTCTGCAATAATATATAATATAAATTTTGTAAGCTCGTCCATTATTATAGGCACAGAAAAACAAACGTAGCAAATCAAAAAACTGCAAAATATAATATAACCAACTCAAAAAATAGAGAATAGAGGAAAAGCACCAGCTGGCAGTGACACATCAGTGACAGCGTTTTTTCGGACTAATAAATGAAACATGTTCCATCTGAACGAACGGATCAGGATCTCGGAATCATGATTCAAATATTTTGCGAAAGAATGCGGCTTATGTTTCATGCTCCTGAAATCCAAAATGGTGGGGGTTAAGACGAGAGCGTTCCAGTGCTGCTTATGTCGAACAGTTCAAGAGCGTCACACTTCAGGAGCATGATACTCTAACAATTTAGGCACTGGAAAGCGGCTCAGGAATGAGACACTCGGCTGAGGAAGAGTTCGTTTTTGTCATCTTTTTCGTTGATTTACTCCGAAATTTTGAGAGGCACGTGACTGGGTAAGACAGTTTCAACTTACAAATCACGTGCCTGTCAAAATTTCGGAGCAAATCGATGAAAAAGATGACAAAAACGAACTCGGCTACAGCCGAGTGTCTCATTCCTGAACTCGCCCCAGAGCTGCTTTCCAGTATGCACATTGGCGTGCTCTAGAGCATCCCGGGAGCGCCACGCACTAGATTTGTACCGTTCCAGTATCATGACGTGAGACGTTTGTCCGTACGTTTAGCTCAAAGCTCCGAGTTTCACACTCCCATACTGGAAAGCGGCTCAGAGCCATTTTCGGGTGCAGAGTGCAAAGCTCCTATTTAGAACACTTCACACCTGTCATGGCGTATTCGACTACCGGCACTAGTGCGCACTCGGCTCGCATTTTGCGAGTGCAGTGCAATACTATATGTTCGGGTTGATTCAACTCATAAGCGAGCAAACATTTCTCGTGTTCGACTACCCGAGCTAAGCGCGGGCAGAGCAATACCTTATGTTCGGGTTGTTAGCGTGGTTCGTCCAGCGTTCGAACTTTTTGGAACTGTAATTTTTGGCGGTTCAAGTAGATTGCACTGTTCTTTCATTGGGTAAAACAAAGATATATTTACAGTGGTTTTTTAGGTTTTTAGTTAGATTTTTTTAATTAAATACCCTTTAATCCTTTCCACGTGGCTCCGGTTTAACAAACCGCAACATACCGCTCAAATTCGAGTGGTAGGTATCCATCACGTAACTTTGTAACCGGGTTAGAAAACGGTATGTCATTTCTCTAACCGTTTTGTAACCCGGTTAGTTAAACCGGAGCCACGTGAAAAAAACTTTTGTGTGGTCCAGAAGTTTCTTGGACATGCCTAGAGTTTGTTTAGTTGTTAATTCTGGCAGTATAGTGCAAGGGATACATTATCCTTCCATAGGTTTCCATCAATTTTAAAAAACAATGTGAGGTTTGACTTGTTAGCTCAAGAAAGAAGAGAAAAATTGATTAATGTTGTTAAAAGAGAAGATCTGACAGAAAAATACATTGAATTATAGGGCGCGTTTGGGTTGATGCTCGGTGCACTCAGAGCTTGCACTTTTGTCTCTCTTCCGTTATTTTTGACGCTCCGACAACGCCTGATTATTCCGTGCGTTCGTTATTTTGGTCTGAGTTCTCCGAGCTTGACTTTACCGTTCGTTTATTTAAAAAGTGTACTCGGTATATCCTCATTCGCGTTCGTATTAAAATTTCCGGCACTTTTATACAGCGTTCAACTGCTCTGTTCGCTCGCTGGTCACGTGATTACGGCTCCGCTCAGCACGCTCTGCTCTTCGAGCAAAATACCGAACGCAAGGTGTGTGTTTGGTTTGACATATTTTGAGCGCTCAGAGCGAGCTCGATAAACTCCGAGTTTGTGGGGTGGGCAGCTGGAGCGTGCATGCGCAGTTTAATCTGTTTGTATAACCTAACCTAACCTATTTTCCATGATAAAATAAATATAAACAATCCTGAATTTTAACATATACTTGTTAGGTAGATAGAATTTTGGTTAACAATCAAATAGCTAGTAAATTCTGCAAAATTTTTTACTTTTAATTGAATTTTCTCAATAGTCCTCATCACTGGTATTATTTATTGAACATATTTTTCCAACGGAACTTGGCAGCCTCAGAGTGTTTAGGTCCGTTTTATTGTTTATGTAGCACGACATTTTTTGCAGAATACAAAAGAAAATGGGACTGTTTGAAAATTATCGACTAAAATAATGCAAAACAAACGAGAAAATTCTGCTGCAAATGCGGAATGCGGGCTCGGACTCCAAGAAATATATGCCAAGAAAAATAAACAATAATCAGCTGATCGCTCAACCCAGCATTTTTGCACATGTTTATTTGGCTTGACACGGTGTACTCCCTGTGACGTCACGTTACTCCGTAATCGCTCTGCTCGCTCCGCCGAGCGTCAACCCAAACTCGCTCATAGAGTAACTATACTTAAGGCGATTTTCAGCCTGGAATGATTATTTATCGGTAAATACCGTGGTTATTCTTTTGGTTGACAACTTTGACAGCCAAGTGTGACGTCATAGCCCCCCACCATTGAAGAATCATAACCCAAGGAACTGACCGCTGAAATGGTTTGGTTATAGCAGTGTAGGATTTTGTTTATTATTCTGTTTTTTCGTTTCAACAATAGTTTTTTGTTTAGGTACTAAAAATAGAGCTGAATCTTTCGAAAGTCTCGTTTATCGAACAGATTTTCTTTGGGGATGATCTAAACTTTGATCTAAACATGGTGAATTGCAGTGAGTGAGTGAATGTATACTTTTTTCATTGTGCCAGGCTACAACGCAACTGCAAAATCACAAAACACCAATACAAATTCCAAAAATAATAACAATAACATCAAAAAGCTGTAACGAAAAGATTAACCCAAGTCCAAAGCTGGGTTATAATCGGTTATAAGTGGTAAATACCAAAAGCAAATCAGTTGATATGTGACATCACAACTTCCCCTACTTTGGTTAAAACCGCGACGGCGGAAATGCATTGGTTATAACCAGGCCCTGCGATCTCTTATTGCCAGTTATAAACCACATAATAACTCATTTCCGTTTTTCTAGATGTCGCTAACAACCACAGAATTGTCAAAATTGGAAAATACCAGCACATCAAGAACACGTCCGATGTCGATAACATTGACATGAGATTGACATGTCAACATATGACAATATGCCAAAATATTTATTTGATCATATACTAATAATTCATATTGTTTTTTGTTCGCCGGTCTTGCATTTCATCTTTCTTTGTGTTGTCAAGTGTTCAAGTGATTTCAAAGTTGTTTTGTGTGTTTCAAGAAGAACTTCAAACTTTATAGATTGGAAGATCTATTTTTATCTTTGTTGATTAGATAAATGACAGGATCAATTAATAGTCCCCAGTACATCGACCTTAAAATTTTGTAACTCATGTACACGCCCAACTTCCTGAGCGGCTTCATAACACCAAGTCGGACAATATTTTTCATGTCTCCACCCTGGGCGATGGAACATTGCTGCGCTAGCTCTTCGTGAAGTTGTCGTTCTGACGTCCCTAAGGAAGTTGATACATGTACGTGTGGTTTCAATGCCAATCGACTGTTTTTTACATTACATTAACGATATCACATTTGTCGGACAAAAACCATGTGGCTTTGGGGAAGGTCCGACACCCTCAACATGTCGCTGTGGCGTCCCTGAGGAAGGTGATACATGTACGTGTAGATTTAATGCCAATCGACTGTTTTTTGTATTACAATAACACCAAGTCGGACAATATTTTTCATGTCTCCACCCTGGGCGATGGAACATTGCTGCGCTAGCTCTTCGTGAACAGAGCTGGGCAAAGCCCTCAGTAAAAGGGCTTGAAGCACTAAGCCCTAAGCCCTCTATCAAAGTGCTTCAATTTCAAGCACAAATTCCTTTTCATTTTTAAAAGTGCTTCACAAGCACAAAGCCCTCAAAGTGCTTTGGGCTTGACAAGCACAAAGCCCTCAAAGTGATTTGAAAAGTGCTTGAAGCACATCAAAAGTGCTTGAGGTGCCTTGAAAAGGGCTTCAAGCTCTTTAAATGTGCTTCAAGCTCTTTAAATGTACTTGAAGCTCTTTAAATGTGCCTAAAGCACTTTGAATTTGTAATAAAATTCTCAAAGTGGCATAAGCTACCGCGTAAACTCATCACACAGAATTGGTATAGTAGAGACGAACTTTACATTTCACAGAGTAGCAGTAGTATGTTTTTTTTTGAGATGTAGTTCTGGGGTAGGTACTTGGGGTACTACATGGTACTTCAATTTTAAGGTTTTCAAAATGTTCAATGGGGAAAAGTGGAAAAAATCCAGTGATAAAGTTAAATAGGGTACCAATATAAATTAATTATTTATTTTAATAATAAGTTCATTCATTTTTTTTTTAAATTCCATTCTAAGCTCGAACCCAAAACCTCCATTGTTAAGA